GAACACTGGCTCACCTGGACAGGAGTTGTGCACCCCTGGTTTTGTCCTTACAGTTGCATATACTAGTTTTTTTTTTGTTTGTTTGTTTTAATAAAGTGAATAAAGAAAAACCAGCATATTTTGTGTTTGGGTGCTAGTTTGCTGGCCACTAACAAAACCAGCACACAAAACACACACATACCAGCATCAAAACACAACATGCACGAGTTTTGCAGGTGACCAGCATACCAGCATCAAAATACAACATGCACTGATTTTGCTTTTGACCAGCATACCAGCAACACGACATATGCTGGTTTTGGCGAACTGTGTGACAACAGGAGTTTTATGCTGTTTTCCCATGGACTCAGGAGCAATCTTTGAAGGTAGGTTACATTGTTGAACAACTTTGTGAAAATATTTGGCCTTCATATTCTTCGACAGACAACAGCAATTTAGCGAGGACCAACACATGCAAGAATACAGATCCAGGAAGTACTCCTGGCACGGCACCTGAATACAATATTTTAGTATAACCTAACAATAAGCCTTGTGTCACAAAAGAATTGAAGGATTGTACCAATCATAAAAAGTTGGCTTTTATGAAGGTAGACCATGTTCAAACTAAGATTATTCCGAAAGAAAAATAGGATGCAATGATATGCAAATCATGTGAACCAAATTTTTAAAGGAACATACTACAAAGACAACATATCAAATGTTAAAACTGAGAAATTGTTTTGTTTTTTGAAAAATATATGCCCACTTTGAATTTACTTTCGACAACATGTTCCAAAAAAGTTGGGACGGGGGCCTGTTTACCACTATGTTTCATCACCTCTTCTTTTAACAACACTCTGTAAGCGTTTGGGAACTGAGGAGGCCAATTGCTGTAGTTTTGAAAGTGAAATGTTTTCCCATTCTTGTTTGATATAGGATTTCAGCTTCTCAACATTTCTGCATCTCTTTTGTTGTATTTTTCATTTCATAATGCGCCAAATGTTTTCAGTGGTGACAGGTCTGGACTGCAGGCAGGTCAATTTAGCATCTGGACTCTTTTAATATGGAGCAATGCTGTTGTAATGCATGCAGAATGTAGTTTGGCATTGTCTTGCTAAAATAAGCAAGGCCTTCCCTGAAAAAGACGTTGTCTGGATGGCAGCAGATGTTGCCAAAACCTGTATTTATCATTCAGCATTAATGGTGCCTTCACAGATGTGCATGTTACCCATGCCATGTACACTAATGCACCCCTATACCATCATGAATGCTGGCTTTTGAACTGTGTACTAATAACAAGCTGAGTGGTCTTTAGCCCAGAGGACACAGTGTCCATAATTTCCAAAAAGAATTTCAAATGTTGATTTGTTGGACCACAGGACACTTGTCCACTTCCCCTTAGTCCATTTTAAATAAGCTTGGGCCCAGAGAAGGTGGCAGCATTTCTGGATCCTGTTTATATATGGTTTCTTCTTTGCATTTTAGAGTTTTAACTTGCATTTGTGGATGCAGCGATGAACTGTTTTCACAGATAGTAGTTTTTAGAAGTGGTTCTGAGCCCATGCAATGATTTCCACCACAGAATCATGTCTGTTTTTAATGCAGTGCTGCCTGAGGACCCAAAGATCATGGCCAGCAAATACTGGTTTTTGGCCTTATCCCTTGAATACAGAGATTTCTACAGATTCTCTGAATATTTTAATGTTATTATGTACTGTAGATGATAGAAAGAAGAAGTTCTTTGCTGTTTTATGTTGAGAAACATCATTCTTGAATTGTTGCACTATTTGATTGTGCAGTCTTTCACAGAGTGGTGAATCCATCCTCATCTTTACTTCTGAAAGACTCAGCCTCTCTGAGATGCTTTTTTATACCCATATCATGTTACTGACCTGTTGCCAGTCAACCACCAGCTGCTTTTTTAGCATTAGACAACTTTACCAGCCTTTTGTTGCCACCGTCCCAACTTTTTTGGAGCGTGTTGTTGACATCAAATTCTAAATGGGCATATATTTTTCAAAAAACAATAAAATTTCTCAGTTTCGACATTTGATATGTTGTCTTCGTACTATTTTCAATTAAATATAGTGCTTAAATAATTTGCACATCATTGCATTTTGTTTTTATTTACATTTTGCATAATGTCCCAACATTTCTGGAAATGGGGTTGTATATAAAAATAAAATTAAGGACCACTGTTGTCATAAGACATCTAGGGAAATGTCAGAAGTTTTAAAAACTATGACTAATATGGATACAGGGAGGGAGATGCATTAGTACAGTGAATGAGGTGGGAAAAGCCAATGAAATAAATGAATCCTTAGATTTGACTCAGGGAATGCTTCTTCAGCACAGGAGTTAGATCACAACTGAAGAGTGATGGGCAAAGCCCAAGATTAGTAATTGATCAAATTACAGTGCAGTCCGTGTTTTCAAAACTTTGTCAGAAGAAGGCCACTGGGCCGGAAGGGATTTCTGCTTTTTTTTTTACTTCAGTGATGGCAACATGCTTAGAAATGTTTATTGTCTCTAAACTGAAAGCGGAGGTCAACAGTATTTTAGATCCTTTCCAGTTTGCATAAAAGGGGTACTGATAACACTCTTGTGAGCCTGATGCTAATGATTTTTAAACATGATCTTGATAACTCCACATCTTACATTTACGGCATTTGGCAGACACTCTTATCCAGAGCAACTTACAATTTCATTTTTACACAGGTAGGTGAAGGTAGTGCTAGGAGTCTTGCCCAAGGGAGACATGGTAGTAGTGTAGGGCACTTGACTAGGTGGGGTATGAACCCCAGTCTACAGCACAGATGGATGTTACCCACTACACTATACCAATCACATCTTATGTTTATTTATTATTTATTGATTTTAGCTCTGCTTTTAACACAGTACAACCCCATCTGCTGATCAACAAAATGTTAGACATGAGGATCAATTCTTTCATTGTAGGGTGGTACTGTTCCTTCCTATCAATTCGGACACAACAGGTCAAGGTCAATAGAAGTCTTTCAGATCTAAAAACCTTAAGTACAGAGATGCCACAATGTTGCATTGAGTATGTTCCGAGACAATGTTTTGTGTAAATTTTCAGATGATACTGCTGTTTTAAGCTAAGCATGAAAAAACTGCAACCTCACAAATTATTTTGCTGAGATACAGGGATTTGTGGAATGGTGTGATAAGAATCACCTTAGCTTAAATTTTAAGAATACACTAAGGGAATTGGGAATCACAGTCCAGTGTTTATTCACAATAATACTAAATTTCAGGTTTTGTCTTATAAATATCTGGGTGTCTATATTGATTATATTGATCTATACTTGTCTATACTTGGGTGGTCGACCCATGTGGAGTATCTTTGTCAAAGGCTGCAGCAGAGCTTGTATTTTTTGAGGAGCTTTGGAATGGTTTAGAAGCTCATGGTCCTGTTCTATAATGACATTTTGGAGAGTATTTTAATTTATACATGCTTCCTTTTGGCCAAATACTACAAGACTATGGGATATCCTACCACAGCTATGCAGACGATATTCTGATCTACTTGGCCCTCTCCTCAAACAACTATGGGCCACTTGACTCATTTTATAAGTGCCTTGAGCACATCACTAACTGGATAGAACAAAACTTTCTGTAGTTGAATAAAGATAAAACAGAGATTATTTTACTCGCAATGAGAGACAGAGATAAGATGCCTATGTGGACTCGAGAGCACTTAAATCTGAAGAATTAGTACATAACCTTGGTATACTAGTAGACTTGAATCTCAATTGTTGCAGTCATGCCCAAGTAAATTAGCATTTTATCACCTTAAGAACATTAACAGGATCAGAGAATTTCTGACTAAAGCAGACCTGAAGAAACTCATCCATGCCTTTATTTCTAGCAGGAAGAAGGAAGTAGTCAGCTAGTCCTGCCAGACGTTGACTAAACATGGAGAAGCAGTGTCTAGCTACTATGCTGCTCATAAATGAAACCAGTTCACCGAAAGCATTACAAAAGCCAACACTAGTCACTTTTAAATCCAGGCTGAAAATCTTCTTATTTGGGCAGGCTTGCAGTTCAGTTTAGAACAGATTTTGGTCCAGATTGACCTTAGGGGCGCTTTAGCACTCAAAAACACTTAAAAATCAATTAAAATGCTATTACAATGTTATTACAAGGTCAACAGATAAACACATGGTGCTGTACGACTCAGGTCACTCACATGAACAACTTTCTAATTACATGTTATGTCATAAATTGTATTCTTTGTTGGGTATTTTGGCTTATTCATTCAAAGACTACATTATACAAAGGTCAAAAGGTCAATCTGACCAAAACTTGGTAAACGTCTTTGGTTATAACCAACCCCTTGAACCTGCTCATTGCTGCTTGGGGCTATATTTTTGTTTGTTTTATTTTTTTTTTTTGCGAGTGTCTGATTTGTTTTGACTCATTACACCCTGCCTTTACCAGTACAATAACTGTAATAAATATGCTAATGATCTAATTTGGAGATGCACACCCAAGCTTTTGTCACAAAAATATCTTTCTGAATTGGTGACATAGTAGAGCTATGGCTCTGCATTGGATATGTTAATATACTATAAGGGAATAACTATGAAGTGATTAGGAGTTGCAGCCTCAGTCAAAGGGAATTGATCAGTGACAACTGAATGTTTTTCTTTTTTTTTCAAAAATGAAAAAGCAGTAATACAATAATTAGCAGCAGTGTTATCATGCAGTGCATAAACAGACAATCTCCCTGTCAGCTCCAGTTTTTATTGAACCAGATATTTTTTGGGTTTATATTTGTGTACTTGCAAAAAAATAATGTTTTATGCTTTTTCTTCAAAGCCTAGCCTGCTAATCATAGATGAGTAATGTGTTGAGTACAGCTGTGGAGCGTAATGCACCGCTCAAGCACTCATTAGTGAGGAAGAAGTTTGCAGCTTGATGTAGCTTTGTTAGCTCTTAATTCAAGTGTGTGTGTATATGATGTGCACATGTGTGTCTCAGTCAGTCATTCTTACCTCTGGCTCTTGGCTGTAAATAATTTCCAGCTGCTGTAGCTGTGGCACACAGTGGACCCTACAAAATGTAATCCAGTATAAAGAATTAGACTCTTCTTTGCAACACTTCCTATTCTCCTGTGTTCTTCTTTCCTTCACTGCTTATCTGGAAATTGCTTCTCTGAAAGTAAGGTAACAGGAGTGTAGATACTGTGAAGGGTAAATGACAGGATTAGGCAGGTTCCTGCTGGTCCTGCTGAGAAATAGAAAGCCTTTTGCAGAGAGGAACGACTGAACAGAGAAGTGAGAGGGAGAAAGGGAGGGAGAGACAGGACATGACCTGGCATGCAGATATCAGTGGCACTGCTAAATATAACACCTCTTGCTCCCTCTTACACACATCCAAGCTCTCATGCACACACACCCTTTCCCTCAGAGTCATTTGGACAGATGGCCTTGTCAGGAGACTGTACACTCAGGAACTCAGATATTTATAGATATAGAGAGAAGACAGTAGAGTACCTCTAATTTGTTTAATTTCGTCCCTCTTACACACATCCATGCTCTCAAGTCCAGGAACACACCTTCCAGGAACGCACCTTCCTGGACTTTTGGACAAGTGATTTTCTTAGGGTAAATGCAGATTCCAATTTTCTTAACCAATATCCAGTAAAAGCAACAGTGATTACATATTTTAACCAGTGGCTGTATATTGCATGTAAACTCAATGGTTCCAGCTCCTCCACGATTCTAGCCCTCTTGCTCTCATTTTCGCAGCTTATGTATTTCTCTCAAAGTGCAGGCTATCAGGGGGAACTGTAGCTTTTCACCTTGCTATTACTTTCAGTAGTTTGCTGCTCACAGAGTCAAACAGCAGTTTCTAAATCCAGGTCCACACTTTCAGTGCCCCTTATGAGTGCACCTCTAGTGGCACATTTTGGAATTGCAGTTGCACTTTCAGCTCCCTTATGAATGTGCTCCTAGTAATTCATTTCTTGTAGCTGCACACTCTCCCTGAGCACAAAAAGAAACATTTTTGGTTCTTTCATTACCAAAGTATATTTTGTGTATATGATAGATGAGAGCATATCAATGTCAATCATTTTTACAATTCTTCATTAATTTGCTCTATATAATAGTAAAACATTAGAAAAGATATACAGTACAGTCAGTACAAAAGGAGAAGACCACAATAACAGCTTTTATAAAAATGTTACACACTAATAGGCATGTGCACTTATTTCTCTGGTGACCTCTATGTTAAAGCTCAATGAATGGTAGCTACCAAGAGTGTAACAATTCACAAATGTCAATACTGTTTCGTAGTTAATAAGCAACTAATCAGGAACTAAGCAGGAACAACATGAGTAGTACTACTATTAACTACAAAGGACTACTAGTTAACTACTCAGTAGGTAATAGTGAACTAATGATTAGGGTAGTTCACTATTAACTAAGCAATAACAACTGAGTCTCATAGAGAATTACTTAGTAACCATTGTTTCTTAGAATAACTACTCATGAATTAATGATCAAATCAACATTCATTGCTCAGAAGTCTTACAAGGTTCCTGGTGAACTACTAACTGATGCAATGTATTACAACACTTCTAACAGTACTGAAATGCACAAAACAGTGTGCAGTCTCTAAAATATAAATGATTTTATCCTCCATTGTTATTCATAGAAACAGGTTTCCTCAGAGAAGGCAGGGCGTCACACCACACTGTACTGTCTGGTGTCCCTCATGTTTTGATCAGAAACCTTAAAAGGCTAATGCACATTTTCATATTTGACAATGTGAACTATTTTGCACATCAGCCTACAAATAGGAGAACTGCTAAAACTCTACAGTATTCAGTAGATCAGTCTGCTTACCTCTTTAGACTAGAAAACACTATTTTTGATACAGAAGCTTGTGAACCAGTGTTGTTTCTTCTGAACAGAAGTTATCCTTCAAAGTTCTCTTGAGGGCAGGGTCAGTTGAAGAGAGGGCTCACAGAGATATGGTTGTGTATGTGTCCTACTTTCAAATTCATTTGGTTCTAAATATTACCAAGTGATTATGCAATTACTAACTGTTAGATAATGAATAAGGCGTTGTCCTTCATTAGGAGTTAAAGATCTTCAAGAACAACATTATAACTTGAAACACATTGTAACTCATTACTAATGAGCAAAGTGTTACTGTGTTCTTCATTAGGAGTTAATGATGATCAGGAACAATATAAAGTGAAACACATTAATTCCTAGTTCATTAGTAATGAGTTATCATTACTAATGAACTAGGAATTAATGATGATCAGCAACAGTATTATAAAGTGAAACATATGGTAACTCATTACTAATGAACTAGGAGTTAATGATGATCAGGAACAGTATTTATAAAATGAAATACACGGTAACTCATTACTTATGAACTATGAGTTAATGATGATCAAGAGCAGTATTATAAAATAAAACACATGGTAACTCATTACCAATGAACTAGGAGTTAATGATGATCTGGAACAGTATTGTAAAGTGAAACAAATTGAAATAGAAATCCTCAAAGAAATGACTATAATACAAAAAGTACTAGTAAGTTAAAAAAAAGACATTTTGAAAAAGTAAGGATAAGTTTATTGAGTCCTTTTTTATTTGAACAGTCAAAATGTGAAAATATTCCTGAGTTAGGAATATTAGGAACAGCACATCCAAACAAAACAAAATCAAAATATGTCATTACTACTAAACAAAAAAGTCTGAGAGCTGAAATTGATCACAGTATGTTCTGCTAGTACATTAATTACATGTCTTTATGTTTCATATGTTTCATAAGGCACAATGTTTTACTGCCCATAAGCTTAGCACACAGCTAAGCTTAGCTAAATTAACTAGCTAGCAAGCATGCATTCATAACAGAACATAAACAGCAGCTTCAGATTTAATAAAGCACTAACACACTTACTATTCTAAAACAACATGATTAAATGGACATCAGAGTGGAGCACCAAACCTACTTAGCCTAGCTAACTGTGTCTCTACATTAGTGCTGTAGTGCTGAATAGAACAGTCCTTTATCTGAATCAGGGGTCTCATAGTAGGGGTCTGCCATGAGTCTGATCGAACAGACAGAATTAAAGTATTAATAGAATTATTAAACTAATCCACTGAGAACGCAGGATTTATCATTCTCCATACACAGCACTCAAAAACCTCACTCACACTCAACAGAAACATCAAAGCTATCACAATAACAGTCCCATACAACTGTTAAATGTAAGATTACTTAGTTCAATAGAACTCTAAAATGCTTATAATTTTAAATGTCAGACTCCCTATGTATTTATACTACTAAATAACAACCACAACAACAACAACAGGAATGGTGACACCAAGACAAGACTGAGACGGATACAAGACTTTTTAAGAATTTATAAAAAAAATAAAAAGAAAGAAGAGAAACACCACTGAAACCAGTAAAACATTCCTTATCAGTCATCATACATGATATGTATTGTGAAAAATTATATTTATAACATATTTTGTAAAACATGACATTAAATAATATATAATTGAACATTTTGGGAAACATTATTATATTATAGTCTTATAGTCCAATTCTGCATTATAACTTTACTCGGAAATTATTCTCTGTCCTTTCTTTTCTAAAACTTATTTAGAATCGCTACCTAAAGTCAACAAAATTTAAACCAAAGAACATTAATGTGTGTTGCGTCTGAGTGGATCAGACGCAGCAGTGCTGCTGGAATTTTTAAACACCTCAGTGTCACAGCTGGGCTGAGAATAGTCCACCAATCAAAAATATACAGCAAACAGCGTCCTGTGGACAGCATCCTGTGACCACCAATAAAGGACTAGAGGATGATTAGCTCATATTGTACAACAAGAGATGAGCTATCATCTCTGGCTTTACATCTACAGGGTGGACCAACAACGCAGGTGCATCTAATAGAGTGGACAGTGAGTGGACAGTTTTTAAAAGCAGCACTGCTGTGTCTGATCCACTTGTACAAATGCAACACACTCTAACCCACCACCACTTTGTCAGTATCATTGCAGTGCTGAGAATGATCCACCACCAAAATAATACCTGCTCTGTGCTGGTCCAGTGGGGGTCCTGACCATTGAAGAACAGGGTGAAAGGGGGCTAACAAAGTATGCAGAGAAACAGATGGACTACATTTTGTAATTGTAGAACTACAAAGTGCACCTATATAGTAAGTGGAACTAATAAAATGGACAATGAGCGTAGAAACAAGGATGTAGAAATAAGGTCATAATGTTATGGCTGATCGGTGTATATGATGTTTTTGTAGCTGACAGTTTTAGTTAATTATATTGCAGATATTCATGTGGAATAGTGACATGGCCTGATCACACCTGTGTATGAAAAAAGGCTCCTAGTTCTGACACTCTTTGCTGTTCTGCATGGCGTCTTACATTTCCTATAAATATATGTTTAAACTGTTAAAATAGTTGCCAGCTACACTCTGTGGCCATTTTATCAGTGACACCAACCATATAAGTGCACTTTGTAAGTTTAAAGAATCAGCCCTCAAGAATTTGCCTTGAGACTGAAGGAATTGTAATACAATTATAATTTTAAAAATCATTGAAATAATATGTCAGCAAATTGTGTAAGGTTTTTTTTTTTATGTATCTTTGATAAGGCTACTGCTGTAAACAGAAAAACAATTGTGATAGGATTGGCCATGGTGGCTGTACATTAGTAGTAACTGTAGCTTTTATATCATGAATAACAGCCAGATATACCATTATTATTAGCCAGATTAACAACTACATGTCATCGCTGTCCAAAAAAAAACATGTATATCATTTTTTTTATATTGACTTTTCTACATCATTTGAGAGCAGCAGCTGCCCTTCACATTCTGTGAAAATTTCATGATGATTGGACCAACAGAAATACTCCAAAATTGCTTTGTATAAAATATTTTTACATTTCCATTAAAGGTAAAGAATGGTTTTGCATTCTTCTGTAAAGTTACTATTTTGGAGATACTTGTTTTTCTTTGGACAGCGATGATATGTAGTCACACTGCCCCCAATCAATCAATCAATCAGTAAGAATAAATCAAATTGTATAACCATACCAAAATGGCCAAAAGTGTCCAGTCTTTGTAAAAATGATTTAAAATAAATATGTAGTTAACTTAAGAATTTAAGATTGCACAATAAATGTAGGTTTACTTAGCTACCATATGTAACCATCTTTGCAATTATGAGGGACCATCTTCAGTCTTTTCTTGGATTTGCTACATTTAATTTTCCTTTTCAAAAGACTTTCCTTCTGCATCCAT